CTGGGGATTCGAACCCGCCACCTTAGGTGTACGTGGCTGGCGCCTTAGCCGCTTGAGCCACAGGCGCCGAGCCACAACTAGTTTTTTTAATGTGGATATTTATAGTATTTCATGTTAAGAGGATCATCTAGATCAATGGTTTTTCTCTAGAAATGTCTTATATGTGTAATCGTATAAAATACAACAATAGGCTTGGCACCTATAGCACAGTGGTTATGGAGCCAGCCACATGCACCAAGGCTGGCAGGTTCGAACCCGGCCCCGGCCAGCTAAACAACAATGACAACTGCAACAAGAAAAATAGCCAGGTGTTGTCTCAGGCACCTATAGTCCCAGCTACTTGGGAGGCTGAGGCAAGAGAATCACGTAAGCCCAAGAGTTTGAGGTTGCTGTGAGCTGTGATGCCAGAGCACTCTACTGAGGGGTGCATAGTGAGACTCTATCTCAAAAAAAAAAGAAAAATTAATAAAACACAATAGACAAGGTTAAGATAATCAATATACATAGTATATCTAATAAATGCTACGTGCTTAATAAATAAATAATAGAATCAATTAGAATATGTTTGTGCCCTACAAAACATCTCTAGTAGGCTCCAAAGAACATCTGTAATGTGAAAAATAAACCTCTTTTGAAAATTTACTCAGTCTTTTCATAATTATTGGATTCTGATGAGTTTCTTACACTCTTCTTGCTGCATTCATTCTATTTATGTTCAAACCTAATCTTGCCTCAGGGGTAACTATCCTGGTTTTCTCTAGTAGTCCTTCTAATTACTTAGCTCTTCCTTAGTGGTACTCGGCAGCAGTCTGCATTCTGTTTTTCTCTCCTAAGAAAACATGCTTTGCAACTTTTGGGGAACCAGTACACACAAAACTTACAGGTCAATAATTCCTGGTTCCCTGACTTCAGATCAGTCCTTAAACTTCACCACTCTTCAGACACATGTGGCTAACATTAGAGGCACTGTGCAGGAATAGTCTAGGCTCAGGTAGTGATAGAAGTATTAGATTGGATTAAGAAAAGGGGTTCAGGGCTCAGCGCCTGTGGCTCAAGTGGCTAAGGCGCCAGCCACATACACCTAAGGTGGCGGGTTCGAATCCCCAGCCCGGGCCCGCCAAACAACAATGATGGCTGCAACCAAAAAATGGCCAGGCGTTGTGGCGGGCGCCTGTAGTCCCAGCTACTTGGGAGGCTGAGGCAGGAGACTCGCTTGAGCCCAGGAGTTGGAGGTTGCTGTGAGCGTGATGCCATGGCACTCTACTCAGGGGGACAGCTTGAGGCTCTGTCTCAAAAAAAAAAAAAAGAAAAGGGGTTCAGGAGGTAGAAAGAACTAAAGGCAGTCATTGACCATAGACTGACAATCATAGCATAGAGGAGGAAAATGCATAGCATAGAGGTCATAAGGAAGGAAATACAGATGGGTAGAGTATGAAGGATGTTGTAAGATGAAACAACTATAGGAAAGTAAATGGGTTACATGGAAGAGAAATGAAGTCTTAAGAATGGTGGAGCCAGGTGCAGTGGCTCATGCCTGTAATCCAAGCACTTTGAGAGGCCAAGGCAAGAGGATTGCTTGAGTCCAGGTATTCAAGACCAGCCTAAGCAACATAGCAAGATCCCATTTCTATAAAAAATTAAAAATTAGCTGGGTATGGTGACATACACCAATAGTCTCAGATACCTGGGAGGCTGAGGTGGGAGAATTGATTGAGTTTAGGAGTTTGAGATTGTAAGCTTTGATGATGCCATTATACTCCAGCTGGGCAACTGAGCAAGACCCTATCTCAGGGGGTAAAAAAAATGATGGTATGTAGAGATACAGAAAATAGGTAACAATTGAAGCCATTGAATTCAACCATAAACAAATAGATTGTGTTAACAGTAGCCCAGAATTTGACATATATAAATGTTAAAATTGATAAATGAGAAAAGAGTTTGATATTGTATACTTTCCTCTAAGTAAGTGAAATATTCTTAAAATATTTTTTTCTTTAAAGCACATATATAATTAAATATATTTTGCTTTATGTTGGTGAAGATTATTCATAGATCTTTGGAATGACTGACTATTAAGTTCTACATAATCAAATTGTATAGCTCTATAAAACAAGTAATAAGTAAAATCATTTATACATTACTTAAGAATTTTTCTTATTAAGTCATAAACACATAGATCGTGTATACACTAACGCATTTATGGGGTACAATGTGCTGATTTTATATACAATTTGGAAAGTTTACATTGAACTAGTTAATATATTCTTCACCTCGTTTACTTAGTTATTATGTTGAGACATTTATACTTTATACTTAATAGATTAGACATGTACCCTTGCAATATGCACCATAGATATAGTCCCACCATTTACCCTTCCGCCATCAAACCTCCTCTCTCCCTTAGGCTTTTACAGAACAGAGTGTTTCTTAAGGATCATTTTAATTATCTTTAGTATTTTTAATATCTCCTTATTAAATATCTCACTGTGAAATATATCTTGCCATTCATTTTATATTGATTTGTAATTTTTATAGGGCCCGGAAAATTCTATATGTTGGGCTGCTTTAGAAAAAAATAAAGGTGAAGTGGTAACTTCTAAGGGTGAGTATAAACTGTATTTTGATATGGTATTATTTTGATAGAATAGTTATACCTTTTTACTTATTAGTACTAATTTATTAATGTTGGGTGAAACAAAGTTGTATGATAACTTAAAAGCATCAACTTTTACATGCATTTATCAAAGCACTAAGTAAAAAACAGGAAAACAGGATATTCATAATTGTCAGTCACTATCTTTCTGGCTTTTTTCTCAGATAATTTAGAAGATGAGACTGAAGATGATGACCTGTTTGAAACTGAGTTTAGACAATATAAAAGAACATATTACATGACGAAGATGGGAGTTGACGTAGTATCTGAGTACGTTTTTGTCAATGCTTTTACTTTAAAGTAGTGAAAATTAGAATGTATAGTTCTTCAGAAAATAGCATAATTTTGATAAAGTAATCAGAGGAAAGGATTTTTTGGTTTCAGCAATTACTGTAGATCTTTCAGCTAGTATGGTTTTGGAGAAGGTGATACTAATTGTGATATATATCATATTTCTATGATAAAAATTTCCAAAGAGAAAAATAATGCTTATACATAGGGATCTTTATTACAAAGTTATTTACAATAGTAAAAAATTAGAAATAATCTAAATGTCCAATAAGAATGTCTATCATAGTTGACCTTCATCTTCACTGTCACCATTTTTATGACCTCTGCCATGTCCAGAATTTGCAGAACTGCTAAATTGATATTTGCAGAAAGTTCATAAAAATTTGCAAAGATGCTTTTAATATATCATTAAATACATATCTTATAGGCAAGACACAAATCATATATACATAGTGTACTTTTTTTGTTGTTGTTGTTGCAATTTTTGGCCAGGGCCAGGTTTATATTTTTATTTTTTTATTTTTTAGCAGGCAGGTGTCTAGTTGTTTCAGCACTTCCACCCGCCCCTGAGACAAAGCCTCAAGCTATCACCCAGGGTAGAGTGCTGTGGCATTACAGCTCACAGCAATCTCCAACTCCAGGGCTCAAGCGATTCTCCTGCCTCTGCCTCCCAAGTAGCTGGGACCACAGGCGCCCACCCTAATGCCCAGCTATTTTTTTATTTTGTGGTTGTAGCTGTCGTTGTTTGGCGGACCCAGGCTGGATTTGAACCTGCCAGCTTAGGTGTATGTGGCTGGCGCCTTAGCTACTTGAGCCATAAGCGTCAAGCCCTGGGGCTGGGTTTAAGCCCGCCACCTCCAGTATATGGGGCCAGCAACCTACCCCTTGAGCCCCAGGCACTGCCCCGATATACAATGTATTCTTATTAACCCTTGAAAAAAAAACAATCTGAATATAGAAAAAAGAAACATTCTAAAATGTAATAGTGATTGGTATAATGCAGTTAAAATTGTTTTCTTGACTGTCTAGATCAGGCCTCCTCAAACTACGGCCCGCAGGCCACGTGCGGCCTGCCTAGGACAGTTATCAGGCCACTGGGTATTTTTGCTGCCACTGCCTGTCCTGCTTAGCAGCCGACTCATCTCGGGGCCGCAGTCCGGCCCTCCAACGGTCTGAGGGACAGTGAACTGGCCCCCCCGTTTAAAGTTTGAGGACCCCTGATCTAGATTTTAAGTAGTGAAATGTTTCTTTTCTACTAAAAAAAAATAGTAATATATTTCATGTTCAAAAGCAAACATCCCAGAAATAATGAAGATACAGAATTTCTAAGTTACCACTTTTGGCTTTATCATAGGGTTTTTTCTCTTGGTTTGTTGTTTGTTTTTTGTGATTTGAAGATTTATTTTACCTGACCTTTAAATGATGGCATTTGGTTTTTCAGTAAAAAAGGGATTAGAGGGAATATTGTTCAGTACAGGGTCCTCAAACTTTTTACAGAGGGGCCCAGTTCACTGTCCCTCAGACCACTGGAGAGCCAGACTGTGGACCCCAGGATGAGTCAGCTGCTAAACAGGACAGGAAATGGCGGCAAAAACATCCAGCAGACCAGATAAATGTCCTCTGTGGGCCGCATGTTTGAGGACACCTGGTTCAGTAGATAATGCTTTTCAAAATAGCTCATGAGGGTGGCGCCTGTGGCTCAAAGGGGTTGGGCACCGGCCCCATATGTCGGAGGTGGCAGGTTCAAACCCAGCCCCAGCCAAAAACTGCAAAACAGCTCATGAATGTCTATTTTAAAAAAAACACACAATAATTTTCAAATAGTGTCTAGACTGCTATAACCAAATTTTAAGATCTTCCTGATTTGCCTCCTTTGCTTTCTCAGGTCTCTTCCCATATGAAAAAGATTTCTATACCTCTCTACAATTCTTCCCTCACTATTTATGAGAGTTAGTCTCACTTTATAGAAAGCTTCATTGGGTGTAAATCTTCAAACTTTAAACCAAAGGTGTAGTACATTAACTGAGTAAATATGAATATCGGGTTTAACTATTTTGATAGTTGGTTTAGGAAAACAGGCAAAGCTTTCATGTGAGAGGATGGAATTTTTAAAAAATAGTATTATGGAATTATTCTGATAATGAATTTTAGCTATGCATTTTAGCTAAGTCCTTGTTTAAATAAACCGTGGAAGGTAAAATGTTATATTTGCAAATACTGTGCTCTAAGGACACTAGCATGTTGTTACAAAATAATGATACATTAAAAATATTCCTTTCTGCTTTCAGCGACTTTCTGGCTAATCAAGCTGCATGTTATGTTCAGGCAATACAGTGGATTTTGCACTATTACTATCATGGAGTTCAGTCCTGGAGCTGGTGAGAGAATAAAAAATAAAATTTATATTTTTATAATGATTCATTCCATTAGAATCTCATTCAGAGATCTCTTTTATTTCCATTTATTTTTTTTAAAGATGCTTACAACCAAGTTTAACTGAAATACAGGAATCTCTTAAATGAAAATACTTAAACTCTTGTCTAACAAAGTTGCTTCCAGCCCTAGCAGATGGCTCATAATAAAAGGTCCTTGTTAATCTGAGAATTTAAAATTCTTTATCAAGATGAATTAAGAGTGACATGGTCTTGATAATTATTGTGTCTGGGTAATGGGTATGTGTTGAGTGTTCATTGTATTGTCTTTACATTTTTTGTTTGCAAAAAAATTCTCTATCAGGAATAATTGAAGAATGGGCTATTTGTATGTTAGGCTAAATGGGTGAAGGAGAAAGGAATTATTTGCTTTTACTGGAAATACTAATAGTTCTCCATTTCTTTCATGTTTCCTATTCCAACAAATTCCATCTACATTTCTAAACTATTTGCCAAAATAGAAAAATAACAAATAAAAAAAATTATAGGGTGGTGCCTGTGGCTCAAGGAGTCGGGCACCAGCCCCATATACTGGAGGTGGTGGGTTAAAGCCCAGCCCCGGCCAAAAACTGCAAAAAAAATAAAATTATACAGTGAATAATAGATACTTTTGGATGACACCATGGTTCTGTTTTGTTCAAAGCACATCTACTAAGCTCTGTTTTAGAGCGCCATCCAGCAGTACAAACCAATGTAAAATAATGCAGTATTTATTATGATTTCACTTACTGCTAGCCCTTGAAACAATTTTATAGTTACTAACCTGATTCTCAGGGCCCCTTAAAAATCAATCTAATAAAGAAAATCTTTGATTTGCCATTTTTTATTAGAATAAATGTAAGTTATTCTTACTTGTACAATCAGGCATTAAGGACAGGCACCTAAAAAGCATGTTCTCATATAATCTTCACAACTATTTAAAGTAAATACATAGGCTTGGCGCCTGTAGCTCAGCAGTTAGGGCACCAGCCATATACAGCAGGGTTGGCAGGTTTGAACCCATCCCAGGCCCGCCAAACAACAATGACAACTACAATAAAAAAATATCCGGGCATTGTGGCAGGCACTTGTAGTCCCAGCTACTTGGGAGGCTGAGACAAGAGAATTGCTTAAGCCCAAGAGTTGGAGGTTACTGTGATCTGTGACACCATGGCACTCTACTGAGGGTGACATACTGAGACTATCTCCAAAAATAATAATAATACTAAAGTAAATACATATTTTTTCTCCCTTTTTTTTCTTTTGAGACTGAGTCTCGCTATGTCGTCCTCAGAGGAGTGCTGTGGCATCACAGCTCACAGCAACCTCAAACTCTTTGGGCTTAAGTGATTCTCTTGCCTTAGCCTCCCAAGTAGCTGGAACTACAGGCACCCACCACACCACCTGGCTATTTTTTGGTTGCAGTTGTCATTGATGTTTAGCTGGCCTGGGCCATGTTCAAACCTGCCACCCTTGGTGCGTGTGGTCAGCGCCGCTGTAACCACTGTGCTTCAGGCCCCGCCCTTTTCTCCCTTTATGGATGAAGAAATTAACACTTAGAAAGGCTAAGTAATCTTAAAGATTGTACAACCAAGAATCAAATTTAAGCCTGATTCAAAAGTCTGTATATTTTCTATTCCATATGCCATTCTGCCTCCTAAACTCCATTGTTTTGAAATATATGCTGTAATTATGGAATATAAAAACATTTCTTCAATTTTTATTGTCCTGAGTCAAACATTAAGAGCATGTTGAAATTTTTTAAAGTTTTAAAATATTGTGTGTTCAAAACTTTGTAGAAATACTTGTGCCTATAGTTAAAGATGGGATGGCATTAAACAAAAACAAAAATAATGTGTGTGTAACTGATATGTGATTTAATCCTTATCACAAATAGGATAATATGCATACTAATTCAAAGATAAAAATTCTTAGAGCTGACTAGTAATGGCCATATAAGCCCAAAGTCACTATTCTCACTATCCTCGTTTTATGAGAATATTCAGCTGTTCTCAGCCCCTTGTCAACAGGACCCAAGCCCAAGTGATAAAACTGATACTCTTTTGTATCAGTTCTGTATCTCTACCTCATTACTGCTGGTCCAGTCTATTGATTGGAAAGTTGATGATCAACATTTGGGGAACTAAAAGCATTATGTCATATTTATTCTTCAATTACCTGATACATCCAAATTTTAGAAATGTGAAACTGGACTTGAAAAATTAAGGAAATATGGCTCACATCTGTAATCCTAGCATTCTAGGAAGCCGAGGCAAATGGATTGCTTGAGCTCAGGAGTTCAAGACCAGCCTGATCAAGAGCGAGACCCTGTCTCTAAAAAAAAAAAAGAAAAAAGAAAAAAATAGCTGGGCGTTGTGGTAGGTGCCTATAGTCCCAGCTCCACAGGTGGCCGAGGCAAGAGGATCTCTTGAGCCCAAGAGTTTGAGGTTGCTGTGAGCTATGACACCACAGCACTCTACCCAGGGGGACAAAGCGAGACTGTCTCAAAAAAAAGAAGGGTGGCCCCTGTGGCTCAGTGAGTAGGGTGCTGACCCCATATACCGAGGGTGGTGGGTTAGAACCTAGCCCCGGACAAACTGCAATAAAAAAATAGCCAGGCATTATGGTGGGCGCCTATAATCCCAGCTACTCAGAAGGCTGAGGCAAGAGAATTGCCTAAGCCCAAGAGCTGGAGGTTGCTGTGAGCTGTGACAGCACAGCCCTCTACTGAGGGCAATCAAGTGAGACTGTCTTAAAAAAAAAAAAAAAAAAAAAGAAAAGAAAATGTAATAAATATGCTATTATCACATGACCTAAAATTTCCAACATTGCTAATATATCATATCCAAATGGCAAAATTATGGGTGGTACTCTATTTTTCTTTAAAATTATTGCTGTGTGTTGTTAAAATAAAATAATGAAAAAGGTATATATTTAGTATTGACTTGTAAAAGGCAAAAGATTTATACGATTTGAAGAGAAACCAGAGTATAGTAGTATTGACTTGTTTCATAAAGTTACATTTGTTTAAAACTCAGTTTTCTTTGATAGGTATTATCCTTATCATTATGCACCTTTCCTGTCCGATATCCGCAACATCAGTACACTCAAGATACACTTTGAACTAGGAAAACCTTTTAAGCCTTTTGAACAGCTTCTTGCTGTGCTTCCAGCAGCTAGCAAAAATTTACTTCCTACATGCTACCAGGTGGGTTTTAGAATTTAATGATTTTATGTCCTTTTTAGTAAAAGGCAAAAGATGTATTCAATCTGAAGAGAAATCAGAGCATTTTTTAACATCCCTTCTGATACTTATGGAGCTCCTCTGCCAAACTTAGAAACAATAATACCCCAAATTATTTAATAGCTAAATATATTTATTTTTTGTTTTAAATATAGTATTTTTTAAACAACTCCCTTGAAAAGTAATTCTTTAATTTGAATTTAGCTTTGTGTTATGAGTGCCAACAAACTCCATAAACCATTCAGAGCCTCGCTTCATTTTCTGTGCCTTTAACCACATCTTCAATTTGTTTCTCCACCAAAGATGATAAACTGAAACAGACAGAATCTGAAACCATCTCAAATCTACTTTGTCCAGACATTTGTAGGTTCATTCTTCTTCTCTTTTATTCCTATCTTTTAGAATAGGGATGATTCTAATAAGTCATTTATCTAAATGCAGTATTGCCTCAGAATGTATTTGGATGTTAAGCATTTCATTTATCAGATTGTGAAATGAAAGGCTTTTCTTTGGTTAACATATTTCACAGACTAGGAAGATGTTTCAAGGGTGAAATGGTCACCAAAATTACACTGTGTTTACTAAGGTGATTCTGAAGGTAAACTTAATTTAGTTGTTAGTATATCAGTCTGTTCTTTTAATTCCATGGTCTGCTCCCAAGAATTGGAGTAAACACACATCCCTTACCTACTTTAACAGTACCAGGCTCCTGTCTGCATCTTTCTGAACCTTAACCTATCTTTGATCCTGACATCCTTTTTTTGTTTTGTAAGTTTCTTTTATGCTTTCTTTTCCTACCTTCAAATGTGTTAAGCTTTGACATTCAACCATGCTAAACCAATAGGATCATGCAAGTTCTTTACAGCCACATCCATTTTAATTGCTCACTGCCCATGTCTGTTTATTAATATTTTGAGTATCACCCTGAGAATATTCTGTTTTAAAAAAATTTTATGTCTTCTATATTCATTTTCTAGAAGACATTCTTATGCTTTGTCTACCTCTTCCTATAAATCTCTAATAAAAACATGTATTGTGGACTGTTCTTTGATAGTTGTGACATAGTGGTTCTTGAGATTTTAGGATTTTTTTCTTTTCAAATTACATTAGATGACAGTTTTTGCTTAATACAGTTTATTAGGACATGGAAGTAACTCGTTAAATTGAGTTAGAAAATGGAGGACTTGGCTCGGCGCCTATAGCTCAACCGGCTAAGGCGCCAGCCACGTACACCTAAGGTGGTGGGTTCGAATCCCCAGCC